AAAAGAGTAAAGTGCTTTAGCCTCTCCTCTCCTCTCCTCTCCTCCACCCTTCATTTGCTCTTTTTGTTCCTCGCCTTTCCTCCTACCCCCTTTCCTCCTCTCCTCTTATCTCATCTCCTCATGTACTCCTTTTTCATCTACTCTTCAGGTTTACTCTCATTTCATCTCCTCTTTTTTCTCAATTCCTCTTTTCACTTCCCTAAATCTTCTTTTCTCATTCCATTCTTCTCATCCTTCATCTTGCCCTCACATCTCCTCACAGTACATCTTTCCTCCTCTCGTCTTTACTTTACTTCCACTCTCCTCTCTACCTTTCACTCCTTGTCTCCTGTTTCTTTCCTCCCTTTATCTTATTTGCTCTTTCCTCATTTCCTCTCCTATTTGCTCCCCTTCTTTCATCTTCTCTTTACATTTTTTTTCCAGTAATTCACCTGCCGCTGAAAGAGGGGCTTGAGGAGGTACACATTTTTTGGATTATTTCTGATGTGCTATGAGAATACTCTAATCTCTATTAGATTTGTCCTAAGAGATTTCTTGCTTGACTGTGCGGTTTTAAGACGCAAGCTTCGTGTTAGAGGGAATCAAATACTTTACAGACAACTTCTTTTAACAGATTTGATACATTATCAGGCTTTAACATGTTAACCTTGCACAGAAGAAACCTTAACATTTGTATTCTCTGTTCTTTGAGGCTGCAGTAACTGTGAACATAGGCAGTTTTCTTTCTAATAACCAATCTGCTTTACAAAATGAATCATCTATTTCAATGCTTTGACTGAGCAGTCTTTATTTAAATGTGTAGCATTGTGTGACAGATGTCTTATTATAATTTGAATTCATTCAGTTCTTAATAAAAACTCAAATCACTCTGTACTTGTCTTTGTTGCTATGGAGACCTAATCAGCTAACCAGAGGTGGGTTGATGAATAATTATTGTTACAATACTCTCTCTCTCTCACTCACACACACACACACACACACACACACACACACACACACATAAAGAGACACATACACATGCACACACACCTCACCCACAAAGTTCCCTACAAACACAGACTCTGGTTACACTGTCAGTATCCCAGGGTGCCCCTGATTAGTGCAGCAATGCAACTTCCTGTGTGGCCTGCAGCTCACGGACGAGGATGATGTTTCTACGGAGCGAGGCAAGGGAGGGTTGTGGGGAGGCGAGGGGGTTCAGGGGAGGAGGCTGATAAAGCAATGGTTTGCGTGTGTGTGTGTGTGTGAGGGGCAAGCCCTGGGCTGACAATGGGTATGATGATTGAGAGCACAAGTGAGACCTGTCCTGCACCACAGCCGCCACCGCGCGCCGCCATGCTTGAGACCATACCACCACACTCACCTTCCTCCCCCCGATAGCACACTTACCACGACACGTATAAGGAGGGAAACCCAGTCTGATTTCCCTGCTATTAGCCCAATTAAAGCAACTGTCAGTCCAAAGGCCAGGATGAAGAGCTGAACGATGAGGTAAATATTACTCAATCACAAGAGGTTATGAAGCAGCCAGGAAGCGCTCAGTGGATCCGTGGTGTGGGTTAGGCTAGTATTGCAAATCTGGCCTAAACCACAGATATTGGTAGGTTTAGCTATTTGTTACAGAATTATATTCATCGTACAGACTCCAGCCATGCAGAAAAGCTCTCACATGATACATCCAAGTTTATTCTAAACTAAGAAAAAGGTTAGTATCGCTTTTTCCAGGTTGGTTGACCTACCATGCCGGAGAACTTAAGGTATTAAGTTTATCAGACAGAGCGTCTAGATCAACAGTTTTGACCCTCTGCAGACTATCAACTCCATAAGTAATTTATTTATCTATTTTGCTTGTTTAGAGTGAGAAATAGCTGTGTTTCTATCTTTGTCATAATAGTTCAGGCTCTTTCTGAACCTTTTGAAGACATACAATTCATAATTATCAATCATTGATGGATTGGTGGTTTGTTTTGACATGGATAAAAGACGTCTATTTGTTAAAAAAGCCAAAGTATAATTGCGTCATCAAACAATTTGTTTTACGAAAAGCAATGGTGCAAATTTATCATGGTCTCATACTGCCTTACGAAACGCAGAGAGCAGTAACGACGCAGGTACCTGCGGAGTTGGGAAAAGACGAAAATAATATGCATGATTGTGGAACATCTGGTCAAACCATTAACTATTAGGATAACGACCTTGTGTCTCAACAAAATATGACTGCTATAGCTCTAATCTTAGCCATTTAAACAAATCTACAATCAAAGGTCCATAATCTTACAGTTAGTTAAGTGTCTTATCATGTATGTATACTCATGGGATCGAATCTTCTAACATCTAGCTCTATTTTCATCGGTCTTATTCTAGTTCAGTCATTCTATTATCTATTTATCTTATCTATTTCTATTTACTTAGTTCATTTAGTACTAACAGATTTAAATAATGCTTGATTTTATGAGCTGGAACATCATTCTTAATAAACTATCTATCTATCTATCTACAGATTTAAATATGTGATTTAGGCTAAATGTAGTTTAACTAAAGTCAGAGGCTTAGATTATAATCACTGCACTAATTTACTATATCTAGTGTTTTTTTCCATTTAGGTAATGCATTATTTATGTGGTATAACAAATAGATTTTTCAGGTACAGGAAACAGGTATGAAAGTGGGCATAAATTAGCTTTAGCTATGGCTAGCTGTGGCTCACAGGCTACCTCGAATTAGCTGTGCATGTAGTGCGTCTTTAATATACAGTAGTCCTTTAGAAATTCATGGTAATACTTGTAATCCTTATCCTCGTGGGTCAATAATTAGTGTGAACACATTTATTGCTTCTATATTCAGCCACGCTTTTTGTATTTCATATAATTACAGTGTAGGATTTCTCTGATGAGCATATAATAATATGTGACCCAGTGACAACTACAGCTGTACTGCTCATTACCATTTTCTAATGCCCTGAAATATTTTAAAACCACTCTGCATGTTTGAGAGCGAGAGGGGTGAATGGTGAAGGAGAATTTAATGGAGACGGGTCAGATAAAATATTATTATGATGTGGCAGAGAAAACACAAAAATCTCCATTTTGTGAAAAAATGAGCTAAATGATTGGCAGCTGCTGGACATGCATAAACAAACAGAGATCTCAGTGTATGTTTATGTGTGTGTGGCTGTGTCGGCGTGCAAGTGTGTGTCAGTATGTGTACGTTCGTTTGAGTTGTAAAAGGAGGCAATGTGTACAGTGCATTCTTGCTATTTTATGCATGTAAGTGTTTCATATTCATGTTTTCATATTTAGGTGTGCGTCTATGTGTAAGTGTGCACATATCTGTCTCAGTGTGTGTGTGTGTGTGTTTTTAGTTTGGATATAGGAGACACATTCAGATCAGAAACATGCTGACCAGGCACTTGGGGCGGTCTAATTGCTGGTCTGGAGGCCTGAGGGTCTGGGGTGGAGGACAACTAATTGCTGGTGATTATAAACCTCAGAGCGGTGGCTTGGTGTCAGGTTTCAATCAGACAAACACCAAAGATCACTCACAGGTCCAAGCACTCGCACATGCACACACGTACAGACTGACGTGCACAGGCATGCATGTGTGTCCATTCAACATAAAGCTCACCAGCTTCAGGCTACAGCACAGAATTTTACTATTGTGTTGTTGCTGGTGTGAACCCTCATATATGCTGTCAATGTGTGAACCCCATTTAACCTCAGATACCACACACACACACAGTGAAAAAATCAGTTTTTCCTCCTCTGATACATTAAAGACAGTGTGCTGAATGAATGTAAATAAGCTAAATTCAACACTGAATTACAATTAATCTCTGCATCACTATCTTTATTTGTTTATTCAGCCTAGTGTCTTTCAATGTTGCGTGAAAATAAGAAAATTGTCATCTAAAATCTAGATAGATAGAAATAAATTATATTAATAACAATGATGTGATATGTTTTATTATTAGAATATAGCTTTAATTACAGGACATTTTTTCCGCAATTAATTGATAATAATAATAATAATAATAATAATAATACCTGTTTTTATCCCTTTTCACTCTAATTGACAATAGTAGTTCATATTTTTGATTCGCACTAGGTCATCGATGTCCAGTAGAAATAGGATATGATAGAGTTTAGGCATTTTTCTCTTTCTTATGTGAGTTGTGAGTTATGTGAGCACTTTGTCCGCCTATTGGGACCGACTACACTCAGACAGCTACACACTCAAACGGACATTTCCGGCGGTTTCCGCTCGTTTCACGTGCCCCTCTCCCGACGACAGCCACCGCGAGCTTAAAGATAACTGCTGTGTGTGTGTGTGTGTGTGTGTGTGTGTAAGGTTTATTTACAACAACAAAAAAATGCGAAGATGCTGGCCTATAATGTTGTGGTCGAATAAAAACAGGTCCAATCTGGTCCGACACGGTCCACGGGAAATTAATCACTTATATAATCCAATGTTATTGCAAAGCGCCACTCACAATCTGATACGATCTGAGTGGTGAAACGTGGTCAAAAACATCAACCCCGAAAAAGCATAGCCTGTATATAACGTCCAAAAACTACAATACTGCCATTTAAGGTTGGTTTTGTTAGATAAAGGCACACGCTTTCCCAACATGCATTCTGGTAGTCCAGATATTCGGTTTTTCTTTTTCTAGCTACTGGAAATGTTGTGTTTTGGATAGCCATAACAACCCGGGGGATCTTTCAGCTGCGCACTGCAGTTAAAGACTTTTATTTTGTTACACACTTTGAGAGTTTTTGAAAAGGTCTTTCAATAACACATGAGGCAACCCGCATCCCTCTCAAAGGGAGTGTGTGTGTGTGTGTGTGTGAGAGAGAGAGAGAGAGGGAGAGGGAGGGAGATGCTAACAGAGTAGACATGTTATTTTGAAAACATGGTCATAAACTTACCCTACCTGAAATAATCCATTTTACAGAAGATCTCTTTGTTTTTGATGTAGCAGCTGCTGTGCTGACGTAGCGACGTCCTGCAGACGGAACACTCCAGACAGCGCACGTGCCAGATCAGGTTGTTCACCTGCGAAGAGACAACATCACACACACACACACACTGATAAGCAGGGGCAGGGATAGTGTGTGTGTGTCCCTCAATCGGTGTAATAATAATTTAAGGTAGTATTGCCTCATGCCAACACAAAAATATTTCCATATAATTTCCACATCTAACAGTGAAGCTTAATAAGGAGAAGGGAGAAGGAAGCATTGTCATTTATATACGATGGTATCATTTTAATATCATTTAGTGAGTCTGGGTTGCCTACCTATGTTTTTCTAGATCGGTCGTGCTTTCATGAGTTTTCTGATATAGCAAAACTATTTTATACTTAAGTCTAATATTACTAAATGGACTTAATAATTGATCATTGGCTTATATGAAAGGGTAACGACTAATATTACTACTCAAATGAATTTATATTGAGAAGTATCGAACCCTAAAGCATCGTTTAGATTCAGTCTATCTTTTAGCAAAACGGGGAAAAAACACACACAATTACCAGGCGTAAAAACAAGAAACAAAAAGGGACAAATCTGTAATATGTGGCTGTTGAAATGATTTACATCCGTTTCGGATAGTATTTTCATTTCGGTGCCCATTTTCAAAATATTTCACATGCATTAATTAATTCATTATGATCACAAAATCACCTCACACTGCTCTGTTGATTTTAGAATTGTTAAAATGAAGCTTATGACCATTATCCTGCTCAATGAACTTAATAATGTTTATAGATTTGAATGTAAAAATGATTGATGACAATTTCATCTACCAAAGAATAATCTATCTAACATCACATCTGTAGAGATTAATTTATTTACAGTATCATGAAGTGAGAAATATTTTACACAAGAGGGCTAATTATTTTCTATAAAAATAATAAAGATTCAGAAAGTGCTGTACACAACAGAGTTTAATGTATTACAAGAACGTATATTATCATGTTATTTATTTATTTATTTATTGTTTGAAAATGACAAAAAAAAAATCACGTTGTGTTTTTTCGTGTCAGTTGTCTAAAAAATGATTTTAAAGATTATTACAGAGAAGCTCCAGCTTCAGATAATATTCTAACAGGCCTGGACTTCCACATAACAACAAAAATAAAATATATTCAGTCTTATTAGTTTCATTTAAAATTTAAAATTTAAATTTTAAAAAACACTATAGCCTAAATATTTACTTTACCTCTAATTAAATATTTAAATAAAACAACGCTCATAATATTTAGTGTTTTTTTTAGCAATGAAGTGAACGTGTTGTCGGACTGAGATCAAACCAGAATCAGATAATGGACTAATGATCTTCACACTTCCTGACTAACACACCCATGTGCGCGCGACTAAAGGCTGCCTGGGATGGAAGCACGCGAGCGCACGCGACAAGACATGGCTGTGTGTTGACAGTGAAAAGAGTCAAAAGACCAAAACAGCCCTGTTGTGTCTGCGGTCTCCTTAACACCGTCTGTTTTTGTTGCCGAACATTTTACGGCGCAGATACAGTCTGTTCTTTATGTTATATCTCCATACAACTAATTATTAAAGGAGTTATACGTGTATTATAATCTGCAGGCGTGTTTCTAGCCTACATTTATTCGATATCATAAGTATACACAGATGTGGGTGACATATTTCGTCCCTCTTTAGTTTTGTAGTTTCATCTCTGCCTGTTTTTTTTATTTTCATAGAATAAATACAACAGTGAGGACGCCTAAAGTTCAGTCCAGGCCTTCAGTTGAATCCACAAACCCAGCAAATATCCAACCCCGAAAGAGGACCGGGGTCAACATGGCACCCTGCTTCACTTCACTTTGTTTCGGCTGCTGTTGTAGACAAGCTATTTGTTGCAAACGCCGGCGTAAAAAAAAAAAGGCAGTAAACAAATAAACAAGACGCCTCCAGAAGAAAATAATTTCTAGTCCCAGTGGCCAGACTAGCAATTTCAGCCTGTTTTAGTGGAAGCTACACGGTCGGCCTCTCACCTTCAGCAAGTATCTGTCCACGATCTCCTGACCGCAGCTGGCGCACATGTTCTTCCCGGTGGACGGCACCGAGCTGGTGGTGGAGATCGGCGAGCACACGGAGGGGGTGGACGGGGTGCTGGGGGACGAGCGAGTGTCGTCCCGCTCCATGTTGGACCGCTGGGATTCTCCGTCCGAGTGAGACTGCAAGAGGACATCAACACAGCTCAGTAACACAGAATAATCCTCATCCGCACACTGCCACTTTTGCAGATGTCGCCATGTTTTCATGACGCGCGCATATATTCAACAAATATATATATATATATTTAAAAAAAAAAAAAAATCTTATATTTATGTGCATAAATCCTGTCTATATGTCCCGCATGCACTGGAGCCGCACGGGACCAAAAGCGGTCCACTGCGGCGCAAATAGGCTCACTGAATGATCCAGACATGTTTTTTTTTGTTTCGTTAAAAGCATAAATAGTCAATAAAGCTCTCACCATTGGCGCGTGTTTAGAGTCCACACTGCAGCGCGAGGCTCCCGGTGTACTCTGATGCTCGGTAGAGATCACCTATAAGACAACGTTCAGTAAAGTCTTCATCACTTTCCCCGTCTCACCCTCAGCTGAGAAACCCTCGGGAGACATTTGCAGACAGCTCTTGAGGGCTACTCCTATATAAAGTAGTCCTGACAATAAACCCCGGTTAAAACTGTTAAAAGGGGGCCCCCGCAACAAAAGGCACATTTTAATGAAGCTATTTCAATTTGGATTGATTTTTCCCTTCCCCTTAACCCATGCCTCTCAGAATAATAGTATTTTCTTCGCAATCCAGGACACGAGAGTGGAGGGGGGAAAAACTACCTGTAATTACAAATAGTTTGAAACGCTGTGGATAAGAGGGACCCGGAGTGTCAATTTCAACTGTCAATCAGAAAAAGGCAACGGGTCACCCAAAGAATTGCAAATTTGATTTTTAATGGCTGTAATTAAAATCCAATTCTTCTCAGACGAATTGGCAGCGCTCGAGAGGCTCGCGGACCGCAAATCACGCTATTCATAACAGAGAGGCGCGTGCCTCTTCACAGCGGCTGGCGCGTGCAGCTGATCTCAGTACACAAGCGGTGATTCTTATGACATCACAGAGAGACAAAAACAAAAACTCACACACACACACACACAAGACGCTGCGGGCTGCAAATAAACTGCGACAACAGATATTAGATGGATCCACCGAGCGCTCAACAATTTGGTAAATCTGAATTATTTGACATTCAGGCTGTGTAAGCAAATTAGGACGGCCCAGGCTGCTCGGATGAGTGTGTGTGTGGGGGGAGTACCTCTCCAAATTGAACCTTTTTTAGCACAAAACTGAAGCTCGGCTCGGGTTTCCCAAAGTGTATAGTACCTGCTTCGTGGGAATTCCTTCGGACAGAATCTTGTTTTCCCTCTGATAGAGGGGACAGGCTTCATTTTTCCAGTAACATGAACCCCTGGAAGTCTCACAGGCTACGTGTCTCCAAACTTCGGTGTGTGAGATTCAGGAGAGGTTCGCGATGGGCGTCAGAACTTGTTACCATCCGTACACCACGCATTCGGCGTAAATGGCGCAACAGTTTTGCTTTTTTTTAAACGGAAATGCTTTTCTCTCTTTAACAAAAAAAAAAAAAAAAAAAAAAAAGTTGGCTGTGCGCGAAGATGCTGACCACCACTGACACAAACTCCAAAACTTATGAAGCTCTGCAGAGGCGAGGAGTGCTTGCTGTCGCACAGAGAGCCTTATTCTAGAACAGAAAGGATTTCTTCCTTTCCCCCAGTTTCCCCTCTCTCTCTCTCTTCTCTCTCTCTCTCTCTCGCTCCTCACTTTTGGGAAGGAGTCTGACTACCAGGGAAGTGAATCAAAATGATGGAGGGGGGTTGGCAAGCTTTTTACTCCAAGGCTTCATAGGTGGCAGGGGGGGACTGCAGCGGCAAAAGTTCGACGAGGAGCCGCAACACGCAAGGAGAACCAGAGTGTGCTCTGCAGTGAAGTTTGCGCGGCCTATCTGGCCTGCCTTATAGTTAAATTTGAAGGGGAGGGTGAAGGAAGAGTTTTCATATAGCGTGGAGAAGGGGTGTACACGCTTTGGAACAGTCTATGACAGAAACTTTACTCAAACACTGGTGGTGAATGTTTGATATCTCCAGGGATTTATATACCGGCTGCCAGGATGGGAAAAATAGCCCCAACGTAAATTACTAGTTATTCAGTATATAATTGCCATTATTTGCTACCGAATATTACAGCCTGACCGTAAAGGCCCTGCCAACCCGCAATAATTAACCCTACAGTGTTCCGCATAGAAAATGTACCTTTATCACAGGGTCTCATATAGGCTATATGTTGGTTTATACCTTGTATATTCCAGGCTTATAGTATCGACAGCCCAGATGCCATTGAGAAATGATTCCATATGCCCATTTATCCTTAAATATAATGTTATATAAATTTTAATTATAATCTCAATGTCTAATCAGTTCTTTAGAAAATTTTATGCATTATCACCACGTAGATTAAGGCTTATTTTTTTTTTAATTTAAAAATGTTTTTTTGTTTTCAATATTACAATCATTTAATACAATTATTTTAAAATTTTAATGTATTGTGTAAAAATAAAAGAAAACACATAAAAATGGTATGGTTACAAAGGGTTAATTTGAAGATTTGTCTGACAGGTTAAAG